ATGTAAAGAAAGTGCATTCAAGTTATAATGTACCAAGAAAAATAATGTCCAGAATTAAACAAATACATCAGTTCTAAACTTTGTGTCAGGAGTATGTGTGCTTGAGAATTGTGATTTACAAGTCATCAGTCAGCCACCTGGCCCAATCATTTTATTCTGGAAGATTCAACTGCAAATACAGTAATAAGGACTTCTAAAGTTATCTCTGAAGTGTCTACAYTTTATCCTTCTAGATTTTTAATGGATTTCACATGACACATACAATTTTTGAGAACTGAAGTGCTACTTCTAATATTTCCAGTTAAATGAAATCTTTAAAATAGAAGGGATGATAAAGTAAAAACCTAAAACTATATTTAGCATTTTGAATGCAATTAGGGCAATTTTATTCAATTGATTTCTGAAGTTCCCACATGAGTGATCTACAGTGGTATCATTCACTACATTACTAACAGGTGCTGAAAAAGTAATTTTAAACAAATGAATTTTATCACATTATCTGTTTTTTCCCTATTACAGCCAACTTTCCAAGTACTTCTGTGCAATTATCTAAATGAAGGTATATCAAAAAGTACTTTTTCCAAGATGTATTTCCATTTTTCATTACAAGATCACTGGAGTAATAGCATTGTTTACTCTCTTYTCTATAGAAGGATTTTATCACTGCTTGAAGACACGAATAAGATAGTGTAAGAAGTGTACATGAATCCTATCTTTTAAACTACAGTTTTACTACAAGAATAAAATATACAGAAGAACTAGAAGGGACCTCCAGATTATACCTAATACATTCTCCTGCCTGCAGGAAGCAATTATTCAAGTACTCTGATCTTACAGATCTCCAATTGAGATGGAAATCCAAAGGCTTGCCAAGCAATCTATTCCCTATCCACACCATTAAAGTTTTCTGTAATTTTAAAAATAAATCTTCCCTGCTGTAATTTAGCCTATTACTTCTTGTTCTACCAAACAGAGGCAAAGGAAATAGATTGTTCTTTTCCTCCTTGGAGCAACCTCTTGTATTATAGTGTCTTCATTCTATCTTTTCTCTGTCAGACTAAGCTAACATAATTTATTCCTTTTTTTYCCTTTTAGGTTATAATTTCTACACTTCTGTCTTTTTTTGTCACTCCCCTCTGGAATGCTTCCCGTTGATTCTCTTCTTTCTTCTTTCTTCTAGAAGCCTGGTGTCTAAAACCGGGCATGGTATTATAAATCAGTATGAAATTAAGATTTGTTAGTTCCAGATTTCATCTGATTATTTAAATAATGAAGGTAATGACCCTCCCTGGAGAAAGATACCAAAGCTGTCATTCTAATAATTGTCCTACTGGAAACCAAAGTTGAAAATTAGATTAATTAAAGCACAGTTCAGTGAAAATCAATCTAAGGAAACTTGTTTTCCTTTTGGATTTGTGTCTTAACCCTGATTGACCAAACACCTAAGAAAACACTAACTCTGATTCAGGTTTGCTTGCATTATATTATTTCTAGGAGCTTTCTGGTGACCACTAAGAATGAAATTCCTATGAAGTCTTTCCCTCACTGCTGTTTATCTGCCTGTAAGAGCATATTTCCAGATTAATGAAAATACAAACAGGGAAGCTACCCAGGTAGGAGCCTCTGGGATGATGGCTGGAAGATGGGGGAAGAAGGAGCAGGAGGTGACAGTCCTAAAAAGAGATGGTGCAGGTTTTAATAGCTGATTCAGGATTAGGCAGGGATTTTATAACTAGTTCTGTTGACTCTGACAAAACAGCCTCTACCATCAGCCCACCTCATCAGCTATTCTGAAAAACAGTATCATTTCCTAAGCCCTACTTCACAGGCTTAGACCAGTCTGTATGGTTTCCTTGTAACATTTGTGAGGCATATAAACAATGCCTTATTACATCCTATCTTGGTGTATAGATTTGAGATCTCATGTAGTAATAAATTAATAAAATACATAAGATATTCATYATGTAAGATAAAAGATCAGCCTATTTATTCATTCCTGGAGGACTAAAGAACAAATACTTGTGTCACCAATGATGATACCAGTTCCACTGGTAAGACTTATGATTGTGACTCTAGGATTTTGGTAATAAATAAATAAGTGAGGGGGTAGTAATATTTCTATTTGCATTAATTTGAAAAATTTCTGTAGCAGACAACATTTTTACAATCACTATTGGTAAATGTGTTTGGTATTTCCGGTTACATTGAATASTGGGGATTTCAGGAACAATGCCATAAAACTTGAACAGTACATCAGCTTTAAGAATCTGCTTCAGCATATTGAGGAACTGCCATATTTGTTTATAGTTACTCTGATAMCTTTGATTTTAAGAACTACAAAAATTGTTAATTTCAATAAGCTGTCTTGCTGTTATGAACCAACTCTTCAAATGCATCCACTTTTTTTCCTAGTGATTACAGAGGAACTCCGGAGGTTATTCCTGCTATCAACTATCCAACATTAGGTACTTAACATGGTCTCCCTTTTTTTTTCTTTGCCAACGTTAAGACACATAAAATACAGTACATAATGTGATCAGTGAAGGGTGGGGCCAGGAGACCAAATGGGAGAGGTCTAAAATCTCATGAAAAGCTTTTCTACAGGGCAAGCAATGACTGACCTGAGAAATAAATTGGAGCAAGACCAAAGACAAGGCTGCTAAAATAGGTTGAAGAATGGAGCAGGCGAGAAGAGATAAATACGATAGCGAGAAAAAAGCAGCTTGTCTTGGCTATATAAGAACAGAGAAAAGGACTGGGATATATTACTGGAGGAAGTGACTGTCTCCTAGGCCAAGATTTTACTATGCTAAACACAAACYGAGATGAACAACCCCATAAATGAAATTAGGCTTGGTTAGTTGAGGAGAATCACAGCAAGACATAGGGACAGGCATTAGAATAGACTGGCAGAAGTTGGGAAGGTTGTGGCAGACAAATACAGAGTGGTGGAAAAAGGTCAAAAAGGTGTCTCAGGCCCCAGATTTATTCGTTGCTATAAAATGTGCATTTCATCACAACTGAGGATGGCCACGTGAAAAGAGTAGCCTACTTATCAGCTATTCCATCACATCCTGCTAGCAGAAGTGCTCTTTCCACGTACAGCATTGCAAAACAGAGATTGGTCACTATGAAAATTTTCTCCTTTTAATAACCCTTGACTGGACGTATAGTCAAAGTTTCTAAAGGAACAAAAAGCTACTAGGTGAACTAGGTTGATCTCGCATCTACACAAACACCACAGACTCTTTTTTCARTAATGACTGCAATAATTTATATGTTTGAAATCTTATTTGAAGATGGGTACACTATTGGTAGTTACACTATTTAAAACTTCTATGCCATTCCTAGCTGAATTTTACTTTACTTTTGAAGCACTGGCACTTTGCATGCTGTTTTTTTCTTTGCATGCAATAGTTCTGTTCTATCCATAAAATTATTTATTTGGTGTAAGCAAGCTTCTGTCTTCATAAAATTAATTCCATAAAGATATTTACAGACAGCAAAGATACAAGCTCACATTTCCTACCATTTTTTTTCTTGCTTTCAATTTGATTCCTGAAAATGGGGCAAATTTCTGAAGTAGACAAGATTGTGGACAAAGAACCCATAAAGTTTTACTTACACCACAGTAAGAAATTGATTAACATTGTTTAAATACATTGGCTGCATATAATGTAACTAAATAAAATGTGGGATGAATTTGCAGAAATTTCAATATTTGAGTTTTACTGGATGTGACCATGTAAGCAGGATGTAATGTTTACTTACAATAAAGCCTGTGTTAAASACATTGTAAAACAACATTTTTCAAATTGCAATTAGTTCAAGGCCAGGGAAAAGGCAAGTAGCACACCAGCTTCTTACAGGTGCAAAACCAGACTACTGAATTCATGCAGTGAAAAAACATTCCTGCAAGTGCAAAACCTGCTTTAGCCTGTGAATTTGGGACAAGGCAGAGATACATGACATTTTGTTACTTGGCACCAGTTCTCRGAAGGTTCAAAGGTACCGCAGAGCTCCACCATCTGCAGTGACGCATTTGCTGGTAGTTAGTTACATTTCTATTAACCCAAACTTTTGCCATAAGTCAAGGAATCCTAGCCTTATTATCCTGACAGCCCTTGAAACCTGCTAGTTCACCTCTTAAGCCTGAATGAGATTCCCATTACAGGAAGCTCCCTCCCTGCCTCACCTGCAGGCTGAAGCACAATCCCTTCATCAAGTGCTTGGAAAAAGGCAGCTCAAGACAAGAGCATTTGGCATAGGCCAGGATGTGCTCCTCAGCACGCCCCAGTGGCACAGCAAGTAGGAAACTCCCCTGGAATGCAGCCATTCCCCACTAGCTTGCTTGGGCAGCTTCCTGATCAGAGGTTTCTGTAAAATCCACTCCCACTTCTCCTCCCACACTCCTGAGGGAGCCTCTGAACCTTGAGCTGGGCTGTGACTTCCTCCAGGCAAAGGGCGTCCAGAATTACGCAGTGTGATGCAGAGCAGGGGAACAAATAACCTGTCTCCAGCATTTCAGCTGTAGAGAAAGATACAGGTCTTCCTGCATCTTGACACAACCCAGGAGGAAAGAGTAGTTCCATACCAATTAATGCTAATTGAGATGATTAAAAAAAACACAAATAACCAAACAGAATATTAATTWCTTACATTTAATGCCTTTCCTAATTTATTTTTGAATTTTCATCTGCAAGATGAAGCCTTCAAGGGCTACTCCATCTGTGATAAAACAGGTGCTGGTAGTTGCTGCAAGGACCTACTGCTCGCCACTGCTTTGGGGGCGTTCCATTCGTTCGTCATTTTCACCTACCTGTCAACAACCTGTTAAGGAAGATATGGAATTGGGCTCTAGACAAAAAATCAAATTGAGATGAAGGACAGAGATAGAAAATGACACAATGTTTGGAGAGAACAACATGGAATAAGCCAAATGGCTTAGAAGTTCRGGGGCATTTCCCCATTTCCTGTGCATGTTGATTCATCAGACTTACCTTTCTTCTCTCGCTTTTATCTAACACATGTTTGCAGCTTCAACCCAATCTTGTCAAGTTTCTCTCTGTTCCTGAGAAGGGGCATAGTGGTAGGAGGTCCAGAACAAGAAGATGAGGTTATTCCTCTGTTCACATGACAGTAAGCAAATTCACAGACAGAACTTAGCATGCATTATGTAATGACATTCAGTCAGAATTTGTACCTGATATGGATTTGATACAACACTTGGAAGATTTTTCAGAATCTGTCAGCCAATTTAATTTAAAAGTTCTGGAGCTATTTAAAAAGCAAGCTTACAAAAGTGTAAATATGGCTCTCATTAGAGCCATTTTTAAGTAAGAACACCAAAGGAACTTACTGCATTTAAATGCTGTATGCAACACTGACTCACGTATCGACCATGACCAGTTCATGGAGAGTCCCCATACGCAGCTGGCAGTGCCAAGCTGGTAACTTACAGCTTACTCGGTGAGGCTGAGAGTTGTTGTCCCAATTGCAAATGCAATGCAAACTGCACTGCAAACTTCTTTTTTAAGTGCTTCAATTAACTCTCAAACAAGTGAGGAGAAATATCAAGGGAATGTGAGGGTGGGATCCATCTCATCCACCTTGACAAACCTACATCAATGAAGTTTAGAGAGTGATTCATCTGACTAAAAGTAGATGCCTGCTTTAAAATGAGTTGACTCATTTTATGGATAATATTGACTGTTTTGACTAGATCCCCATTGACCGTGACTCCAGGCCTACCAGCTGCCTCTCCCCACTCTAAAACAGGAGAGAAATTCAATGAGTTTGACTGAAGGCTAGGGATATTCCAGGACATGTTCAAGTAAACTAGTAGCTCATATAGACTGTCTTCCATTTCTCATTTTAGAGGATATATTGATGATTCTACAGAGACATCATCACAGCAGAAATTATACCAAGTAAATATAGTCATTAAATAAGCATTAATTAAAAATTAGGTGAAAAAAAAAGATAGAAAGGAATTATTTCTTTTTTAAAATCTTCCATTAGTATAGAGCTGTATTTTTTACAATATTGTTTGCTACTGTGCATATACATACCACCCAAATAAACACCATTCATGAATATTCACCAAGAACCAATGAAGTATTTTTATGCAATCAAAGTCCTGGCACATTGGGAAGATTGTATGTTTGATAGTTTTCAGATTATATCATAGGCATTGAACTATCACTTATAAAAAGACTTCAATCTTGAAATTTCAAAGCTATTCAAATAGAAATTATTTTCTTAACTATGGGGAAAGAGACTTATACGTCACAACTTTTTTTATATTCCTGTGAACAGCGTGTTAGTAATGCTTTTATTATATGCAGTGAATATAGGCATAGGTTTTGGATCACAGAACCTCTTCTATAACAAAATTGAAGAGCCACATAATTTTTCTATTAGACCATGATATAATTTAATCCAAAGGTTGAAAGCTGATAAGTATTTTTCACTTCCCCATTTAGCAAATCCCATTTCCCCTTCCCCATAATTCTAATAAAATATAAGACAGCCTGTGGATTTGTTAACATACCACTGAGGAAAGGAAGAAGATCTATTATCCACCTGTTTTATCATAAAGAGGGAAGCATTATCAAACTAATGATGTAACACTGTATTGAAGACAAAATACAAGAAGCGTTTTCAAGTTACCAGAAGTTAAAAATAAGGTGAATCTTTTTTTTAAAGGATTGTGATTATCCATTCCCTTGTATTTGTCCTGGTACGCGTACTTGTGGAAGTTGCTATAAAACTGTGAATAGTTACACTAGAAGAAAGAAAAATCATATATTCCATTAATATATGTATCCTGTTTATTAATTTTAGTGACACATAAAGTTCATACTGTTTCTTACAAAACGTATCAAATTTGATCAGTCATGAAGAGATAGAKGACTTTTTTCCAAGCACTATGTTTAGAATGGACATACTTCTTAACAAAACACTAATATATATTAGCTTTTCAATTTACACAATTATACTTTTATAGTAATGCACAGCTCCCCTTCCAGCCCTGCACAACACAGAGTGCAGCAACATCACCTTCTCAGAAAGTTTTGCTAGTGCTGAAGTTAAGCAGAGTGTTGGAAATGGAAATTAGTACCACTTGGATGACAACTATCATCTAACTCCAAAAGATGCCTATCATCTAACTCCAAAAGATGCCAAGAGCAATCATGTATACTAGCTAGCTACAGACAAGTATGCATTAACTATTAGCATATAGAAAACTCACAAAGGAAAACAACAATTTACACTCTTGAAAACAACAGGGCCACTCCAAAACATCTGCCACTTCCTACAACCTCCAGTCTCATCATAGGACAACAGGAAGGAAAACATTCCTCAAAGCAGTCCTGCTCAATCATCCTCTTAGGTCTTTCATGTCTTCAGGAGAGAAGCCTGCACTCTTTGAAAACAGATCCATGCTTTTTAAAGTTGACTCTTAAGAACCAGATTAAAAAAGATATTCAGATCTTATGGTTCTTCATTGAAACTTGCACTCCTCAAATGAAAAGTCAGCTGCCASCTTTCAGTGTTGAAATGTGTAGGTGCCCCATCTCTGGCACTAGAACTCTCTGAAAATAAGGGTTTGAGCTGGTCTGCAGTGGTAAATTATTGCCATTTGTTGGTCTTTGCTTCTCTTCTCTGATGAACAGGTTGAAAGTGATCCCTGCAGGGCTGCTAGTTCAACTCCTCATTCAAAGCATCTCCAGCTAAAGCATGTTGTTCAGTCAGATTTTTACTATCAAGGCTTGAGATTCCCCAATATTGACTGAGAATCCATTCCAGCATTTGATTATCCTAAGAGTGAAAATGCTTTTCCTTACAGACAGAGTTTCCTGTATTCCAACTTGTGCTGATTAGTTCTTTCCCTCTGTGTTGGTTTTGCTTGGCCCAGTTTTTGGAGGTGGGGGGGCCAAAAAGATGGCGCCTGTGTGAAGCTTCTGGAGGCTTCCACCATGTCCAGCAGAGCCAATTGCTGTTGGCTCTGAGGATGATGGACATGCCACTGACCAAACCTGGGCCAATTGRAGATGGTGGTTACGCCTCTGTGAAAACATATTTAAGAAGAAATCAAAACAAAGGGAGGGACACACAGTAGTTTTGCCAATGGAGGAGGCTGAGAAATATGTGAGGGGATGCAGACACCAAGGTCAGGGCAGGAGGGGGAGGAGCTGCTCCAGGCACTGGAGCTGGGATTCCTTTGCAGGCCGTGGTGACGACCATGGTGGAGCGGGCTGTCCCCCTGCAGCCCATAGTGACCATGGTGGAGCAGAGGCTGTCCCCCTGCAGCCCATGGTGACCATGGTGGAGCAGGCTGTCCCCCTGCAGCCC